ACAATGTACGAGTATGAAGGTGTCCTCACCAATCCTTGGTATTGCCAGTCTAATTCCTGTGAGCATGTATGTAGTATTGGGTATTAACATGTATTCTCCTAATGACTGATGAGGTTGAACATTTTTTCATATGTTATTGGCCATTTGGATATCCTCTTTTGGGAAGTGCCTGTTCAAGTCTTTTCTTTGTTTTTTAAAATCCTATTGTCTTTTTTGTCTTACTAATTTCTGAGAGTTCTTTTCAAATTCTGGATATGAGTCCTCTGTTGAATACACACATTGCAAATATCTTTCCCCATTCTGCACTTTCCTCCCCTTAATAGTATGTTTTGGTGAGTATAAGTTCTGAGTTATAATGTAGTCCAATTTACAAATCTTTTCCTTTAAGGGTTATTGGTTTTTGTGCCCCAAGGTGATATAAATATTCACTTATATTAACTTCTAAAAGCTTTGGAGGTCTACAATCTACCTGCAATCTTTTAAACATATAGTGTGATATCAATATTAATTTTTCCATATGTATACCCAGTTGACCCAACATGGAAAAAAAACTTTCTTTCCCCACTCTTCTATTGAAAAGACCATCTTTCCCTATCATACCTCTATCACAATCAAGTGTCCATATATGTTGGGTCTGTTTTTGGACTCTATTTGTCCCATTGGTATATTTATTTATTCTTTTACAGTATCATACTGTCTTAATTACATTATCTTTACAAAATATCTTGATATCCAGTAGTCAAAAGACATCTAGATTTTCTCACCATGTTTTATGTCTCTTGCATTCCTTTTTGTATTTTGCATCCTTTTGTTTTTCAGTTTGAATATTTCTTATCTGTCTTCCATTAATCACTAATCCTTCAGTTGTGTCTAATTGGCTGTTAAAGCTATCTAGTATTTTTAATTTCAAGTATTTTTCAATGCTAGAATTTCTATTTCATTGTTTTTTGTAGTTTTCAAGTCTCTATTCTGTATTTGACTTCTCGGACATAACCAGTTATTTTAGAGTCTGGGCCTGACTCTGTAATATCTGTAGATATCTTCTAGGACTCTCTATCTATGATCTGTTTTCCTCTTGATTTTTCAGTTAATGCTTGTCTTTTATTTGCCTGTTACTGCTGTTGGAACGGTTTGTAAGGGCTGATCTACTTTTGGTTCACTTTTATTCTGAGGGTATAAACCTTTGGGGTGATCCCAGCTAAAAGCCTGTGGTGTTTTCAGTGGTATTTCTCCTTGGCAGACCCTGAATTCCAATTTTGTTCTCCTGGCCTAGTGAATCTGCTAAAGGTTTTGCTCAGCTTCCTAGCTGCTCCACAGCATTTTTGATATCAGCAAGGGGATCAAAAAAAAAATGTTGAATCGGATGTCAGGCTCGTAACTGGGTTTCCCTTCTCTGTGGGATCTTGGCCCCTCAAGTCCTTGTTGCCTTGATAGCTCTATGATTCTTCCGAATACATATTTATACATATACACACACGTACACACAGTCCAGATTTTATCATTATTCACACTCAGAAGAATGTTCTGGAACAAACTAGCCACCATTAGCGGAAGTAGAAATCTTCTTTCTTTGTTCTTTAGCCCACCTGGATTTATCTCATTCTTTTGAATAGTATGGCTATACCATATTAATTTATTCTTTCCCTTATTGCTCGGCATTGAAATCATTTTTAAATAGTCCTGCAATTAAAGACAATATTGCAATGAAATCTCTATACACTTGACAGAGACTATCTATACACTTGGCAGAGACTATCTATATAATAGAGCTGTAGAAGTGGCATTATTAGGACAAAAATTTTATTTTGCTTTCTCAAAATTTTTCCTCTAAAGGCTATGCCATTTTACATTCTCACTCACGCTGCATGAGCGTTCCATTTCCCCAATTCTGGATATCATAAAAAAAATTTTTCCTATCTAAATGGGCAAAAAGTGTTATTGCTTTTTACTTTTGATTGTTTTGCACTGATTACCAGTGAGGATAAATATATTTTATATGTTTGCTTGTGATTTACTTTTTCTTCCTCCATTACCCTAACATATCATTTTTCCACCTTTAAAATTGAATTGTTTGTCTAGTTCTTTTTTTTTTTAAAGATTTTTTATTGGGGAATTGGGGGGATGGGAACAGTGCTGGGGGATTGGGGGAAGTGGAACAGACAGGTTGCTGTCGTTTTTGTTCTTCAATCTAGTTGTGGAGGACGTCGCTTCACTGGCCCAAGTTGGCACCATCATTATGCTCTTCCCGGCAAGGCAGATCAGTCCCCGGCTTCTGGACTGCCGCTCACGGCGGCTTAAGGGTTGCTCACGCTGGCTGCTGGCTACACATGGTAGCCCATGGCAACCCACTGCAGGAGCTGCAGCCTATGCCATCGCCAGCGACTCACGGCAGCCCAGCTCCAGGTTGAGCTGTTGTTCAGCATCTTAG